CTGATGGTTTTTATAAAACTTCAAGCGAATATTTTAGATTTTAAAACCCCACACAATTTTTTTTTAATTTATTTTATAAAAACTTTAACAGTTGTTTTAATGCATATAGAAACCAGTATTTTTTATTACACTACTAAATTTAAGTTATGTTACGTAACGTTTGCTTTTGCGCCAAAGCTTTTAGCTATTAAAAGTGTTTATAAAAGTAATCATAGAAACAGTTTTAAAAGATCAAAAAATACATATATTTTTTAGAATATTATATGTAATCACTTTTATATAAATATGTCATATTTACATAAAAGTGATTAATTACAATATTCTTTGATAATTTAAATAAAACAGGTTTATTGTAAACAATCATTAAAATTAATTTGTTACTTTATTTATTAAAGTAAATAGTATATATAATTATTTATGTATTTATAATATTTACAATAATTTACAAAGCATTTCACATAGTATAGTATTTTTTAAAAAACGTTATATAAATATATTTTCTTTTTCCAATTTCAGTTTTTTGAGCCTAAATCTTTTTCTTGTCTTCTTTTCAAAAAATTTTTCCACCCACCCTGAGCTTTTAAGATCCCTCTCCCAGTTTGTTAAATTTTACTTTTTACGAACAAAGAAACTGATCCCAAATCTAATAAAAAAATTTCAGTTATTATTTTCTCATTTTTATGATCCATTTAGGTCTTAAAAAAAAAAAAAAAAAATCAGAAAATATAAACTTACTTATAGAAAGAAAGAAAATATCACTTTCTAGATTATATGTGCCACAATGTGTTTTATATGATGGAGCATTTATTATTTAATTTAATTTAGGATTTAATAGTTTATAAAATTGAGCCTAAAACCTAATTCATAGTCATAATGTAATAATCACAGGAATATCATAACAGATATAAACAATCTACATTTGTTTTTTACCTAAAATTATTTTAAAGAAAATAGTTCTCACAGCAATAACCAAGGGACTTCCAGTTAGGCAATGCACTGCAATAGTAGTAAGTGTTATTGGTAATTCAGAAGGTGATGTTTCTAATAGTGCGCTACCTTTTTTAATTGTTTTTAGAGTTGTGGAGAAAGTTGTAAATAAAGGAAGAGAAATGATTATAAAGCACACTTCAAATAATCAAAAAAAATTTAGACTTATAAACTTGTTAAACTCTTGCAATCAATATACAAATCAAGTTTTTATTTACGTGTAATAAATTAGGGGAGACAAGAAGATGGAAGGAGAGGAGATAAGAAGGGGGAGGGAGGAGGAATGGGGTATTAATGAACAGGAGGGTAGGAAATTTTGTTTTTAATTCTATAAGTGAGTTTATATTTTGTAATCTTTATCACCTGAATGATCTCAGAAATTAGAAAATAATAAAAATTATTTTTTGTTTTTAGTTTGAGATCAGTTTTTTTGTTCACAACAAGTAAAATCAGGGATGCGGATTCCAAAGGGGACTCAGCTTTATATCTATTTTTTCCTGGCCTCGGTGTCCAAAAGTTCTAAATATGTTGATTGACTTATGATCTGCAAAAAGAAAAAAAATACAAGATTTAATAGCTTGGATTTTATTGTTTTTATGCCTTGCTGGCATTATACCTGAAGTTTTTGAAAACTTAAAATACTTTTTGAAAATTATTAAACATCAACTGCTGTGTATCAAATTTAAGCAAACTTGACCATTTTTTTTAATTTAAAAAAAGACCACTCTCCAATTCTTTGTAATAACTATAACTAAACTATTAAAAACAACATCAAAAAAAAATAAAAGTAAAAAAAATCGAGCTACAACAGCATTTTTGTAATTAAACTTTGTAAATAAAATTGTAAATTAAACCCAATAAAATTGTGATAATGGCCAAAATTACAGGTGTTATGTTTATTTTTAAATAGTTTTAAATATTTCAATTGCACATAGAACAGAAACAATGACCAAAACCATTTTTTTAAATGGCAGATTTTTGTTGGTTCAAGGCAAAGTTTGAAGAGCCATATCTTTAAAACCGTTTGGAATTAGATGATGAAATTTTGGAAATGTTCATAACTTATTAAAATCTTTGAGTGGTGTAAAAATCAGCAAAATCTAAGACTTAGGGTTGCATTTTATAAAAAAATTGGATGCCTTTACATGGAATTGCCCAGTTGTTAAATTTGCTATACCTTATATCGCCAACTTACGTATTAAATCTTAATTTGGGATACACGTGTAATTAATTTTTACCTAATACGAGTATAAAAAAACAACTAATGCAAAATTGCATATTTAAATAAATTTTTCTAATAAAATAAATTTTGACTAGCCAAAATTTCGGTATTGGTTATGGTAAAATATTTGCCGAAATTTCAGTTTCAGCACCAAATTTGATATATATATATATATATATATATATATATTTATATGTATATATATATATATATATATATATATATATATATATATATATATATATATATATATATATATATATATATATATATATATATATATATATATAT